CTGCTACCTGCAGTCACAGGGATGACTTGCTCTTCACACGTGTGTGTGACACACACACACACACACACACACACACACACACACACACACACACACAGCTCTGACGGTCGCTCTAGTGGGAAATAGAGAAGCAGGCTGACAGGGAGGGGCATGTGGCAATGGTGTCTGCCATGGCCCATCTCTTGACCTGGGTGTGGCTACATAACACATGTGGTACGTTGGTTTGGGGCTGTGCTTTCGGCTATACACACCTGAATTATAAGGCCACAACAGTAATACCACCACCTGAGGGGGTTTACATAAAGAAAAGCCATTGTGGACAGCCAGTTCTGCTCCCCTGAAAGTGACACCCCCTGCACCCCCCAAGCTACCCTGGAGGTCAAGACTCTTCTGTGGTGGGTATCGTGTGCAGCTCCTGAAGTCTCCCTTTCAGACACCCCTGCCGACGCCCCGGCTCACTCAGTGTCCCCCTGCTCCAGAGCCCACTGACCTTGGCTTTCTGTCTCTGACAGGGTCATGGTCAGGCAGGTCACCGGCCAGCCTCTTCTGCTGGCTTGAGGGAGGCCCTACCTGGCTTCTGGCGCTCCATGGTGCTCTCCTGGCTGGTCAGACCGCCCGAGGAGGAGTCGCCGCTGGACATTCCATCGTGGGGGAAGTGGGGATCAAACGACAGCAGGGGGTGTGGGGCGGCCGCGTACCTGCAGGGGAGCGAGGGTCAAGCTGAATTATCCCCCCTCACACAAAGCTCTCACTAAGCAGCCTTCCTGCTGCAGTCCGTGTGAGCCGGCTGCCCCAGGGGAGTCTTCACCGGGACACCGGGACAGACTTGGAGCAGGCTGACAGAAACCAGGCCGTCTCACTGTCACCGTGCACGCCTCTGGGTAACAACTCGGAACAAGAGAAGCTCAAGCGCCTGTCTTGAACCTCGTGTGGAACCTTGACTTTGCCAGCTTCCCTTGGGAGATGAAGTCACTTCACAGAGAGGGTGTGAGGTGCTGGTGAGGAAACAGCTGCGGTTGCAGGTGCCTCCATCAGACACCAGACGGACAGTGAGCAGGGCCCGCCAGTGGGATGTTGGCTGGAGCCACCCACGCAGCCACAGAGGGCAGAACCCCAGCAGCCGTGCCCAGGGGCCGAGCCTCACTCGGGCAGGGCCCTGCCAGCCCCCTTCCAGGCTGACTGCATAGTGTGTGGGTGGGCTATAGGGTGGCTGGTGACAGCGTGCGTGTGTGAGTGAGCTGGTGCTGTAGGCATTGTTGGGTACTTTCCCCCAGCCCCCCAGCAGCCCTTCCCTTGTCCCTGCTGGTGGTCGTCCCTGCCTCTGTCACCTGACACAAGTCAGTCCCAACACCGAGGGTCAATGCTGCCAGGCTGGGGTGTGTGTGTGTGTGTGTGTGTGTGTGTGTGTGCTCAGGACAGGGAGAGCTCCTTCATTCTGGGGACAGTCAACGCTGCCCCCATCTTTTGCAGAGCCCTGAGCGCTATCTTCCAGGGACCACAGGGGCCAGCCTGGGTGACGGACGGACTGACGGATGAGTGGGGCCCAGTGGTTCAGGGCGTCTGTCCCTGAAGGGGCACAGTTCACCTGCCTGAGAGCCGGCCCCGCCCCATGCTCCCTGTCAACACTCGCCTCTCAGCTGTCTTGCCGCGGGAGCGCTGGGGGTGCTGCTGCTGTGGTGCTGAGTGCCCAGAGCCTCCAGCCCGAGACAGACTAGGAAGGGGAGCTGGGATCCACTTCTGCAAGGAGTGGCCACTGAGCACCTTGTGGACAGCTGTGGGACGCTGTCAGATACCTCATGGACAATGAGCCCTCAGCCTGGAAGGCACTCAAAGCACAACCGGGCAGGGGCGGCCTCCTCAGGTGGAGCTGGCCTGAATGGAGGTAGAGGAACGCTTTCAGGGCCTTCCCTGCACTGGCCGATGTGGCGTGGCTCACGTTGAGAAGAGACAGCTGCAGACCTCAATGAGTAAGGGGAAGGCCGAAGGCGGAGTGTAAACGGAGGAAAACTAGGAGTCACCGGCATGAACATGGGCACACACAGAGATGGATACTCCGCGCTGCAACGAACTGACATTGGCCATTTTGAATCTGACAGTCACAGGGTCGGCGACGATGGAAATGGCAAATCTAAGAGAAACAGCACCACATGGTCACAAAGAGACCATTTCAGGAATCTCCCTGAAGAAGGATGCTGTCAGTGATGTGGTCAGCCCATTCAAATCGATACGTCCACCCCCAATGCAGCCAGAGGCGGGCAAATGGAAGAGCTGCACCAATCTCTGCTGTCTGAAACCGATCAAACATGCAATCATGGTAAGCTGATTGTGACGGGTGATTGGAATGTGGGAGTTGGAAAACACACCAGGCTCAGTAGCTGCAAAACATGGCTTTGGGGACAGAAATGATGCTAGAGATTACATGGTAGCACTTTGCAGAACCAACGACTTACTCATGGCAAACGCCATTTTCCCTGCAAGGTCAGCAGTCACTAGACCTCACTGGATGGACCACATAGCAATCAAATTGGCTACACCCGTGGAAAGGGAGGGCAGGTTTGCTCAGTGAACCACGGGGGCTGACAGTGGAACAGTTCAGCCCCTCCCAGGCAAGTTCACAGGAAGCTGAGGAAAACTACAGCAAGTCCGGGAGGGCCAAAGTATGACCTTGAGTGTGTCCCTCCCGCATTGAGAGACCATCTCCGCCGCAGATTTGGTGTACTGGAGTGCGTGAGGCCAGACAAGTTGTGGGATGACTCAGGACATCCTCCACAAGGTAAGGCCCAGGTCACTGAAAAGGCAGGGGGAGGGATTAAACTAGAAGAGACTCCAATGCAAAGAAGCTAACGTGACGGGAAGAACACAAATCAATCGATCAAGAGAGTGAACAGAAGAAATGATGAAGTAAAAAAAGATCTCAAGGAGTGGTGGTGAAGACCAAGTGCTTTAATAAAACGCACCAAACGGACGTTAGGAAACCCGAAGGGAGGAACGAAGGTAGAGTGACGTAAGCTGACAAGAACCCAGAAGCGCAAGCCTCAAGTTGCAGCATTAAAGGGTTGTACTGGCAAACAGTGGGACGATGACGGCGCACGAACACGAACGTAGATGGAAGAAATAAAAGCTGATGGCAGGAACACAGAGCCTGTAGACCAGATGGAACTGGCTGGTAAGCAACCATCTCAACAAGTAGCACACGAGGGGGTACTGCCCCCCCCAAATTGGAAAAAAGCTACACTGGGCAAAGTTTGCGTAGTACACAGTTTTCCCACTAGGCGAGCACCTCGCAATCACTGTGAGTCAGGGCATCCAGGGGCAACGCCTGGCAAGGTTCTCTCTGGTCACAGTGGGTTTTTCTATAAAAGAGTTTCGCTCAAAACTCGTTTTTGTGATGGCTGATTTAAGAGAACAGCGTGCAGCTGTGACATTCTTTCCTGCTCAGGAAAAATGCCGCGGCAACTGATGTGATGCTGAACACGGCTTACAAGGGCAGCACTGTGGGGACAGCTCAAGGGCACGAGTGGTTTCCTCATTCTGGACATCGTCAACTTCCCAAATGGGCAACAAGGTCGACAAAATCTGTGTATTTGTGCTTGAAGACCCAGGACAGACCTCTGCAGAGATGGGGACGTTATCTGGACTCTCTGAGCTCGGTTCAGTGGATTTTAACAGAAGATTCGGGAATGAGAAGGTCCCTGAGAAATTTGTACCCCAGGTTCTGACTGACCAGGAAAAAGAGCATCGAGTGGAAACACGCCGTGCTTTGAAAGAACAGCTCTGAAGTGACCCAGACTCTTTTCCAAGGTCATGACTGGTGACGAGCCATGGTGCTATTCTTAGGACCCTGGAAGCAAACATCAATCAAGGCAGTGGGAGACGCCATCATCACCCCGCCCCCCAAAACTCGTCAAGTGAAAACAAAGATCAACACGATGCTCATTTGTTTTTTTGATGTGAGGGAGATAGTGCATTTGGAGTTTGTTCCACTTGGCCAGATTCTTAAGCTTTCTGAAAGGTTCTGAAATGATTGCGTAACAGTGTGCGACCAAAAAGGCCTGATTTGTGGCAGGCAGGGGACTGGTTTTGCCACGACAATGCACCTGCTCACACAGACATCTCAGTGCACTAGTTTTTGGCAAAAACTAAAATCAGCATGCCTCTCGTGTCCACACCCGACTCACTGCCCTCACTCTGTAGGATTTCTTCTGTTTGTGCGAATAAAGAGGGACATGAAAGAACAGCGATTTGATGACACAGAGGAGGTGAAGAAAAACCGAGGGAGGTGCTGTCAGCCATCCAAACACACCCTGTAAAACGGAACCGTCTCCAGGAATTGACAGGACACTAATGGAAATGCTTCAACGAGCTGATGAGACACCAGAAGTGTTACTTGTCGGCACCAACCACTCTCGAAGCCTTCTGCCTGGTCAGTGGATATAAAGAGAGCCATGCAAGTGCCCATCCCAAAGACGGCGACCCCACGGAACAGGATCATGAGTGTCCTATGCAAGTAAAACTCTGCTGACATTAATTAAAGAATGGGCAGGGAGCTGTCGAAATTTCAAGCTGGATTCAAAAGAGAATGTGGAGTGAGGAATAGCATGGCTGATGTCAGTTGGATCTTGGCTGAAAGCTGAGGATACCAGAGAGAGCTGATTTGTGGTTTATGAACTCTGCAAAGGCATTTAATGGTGTGGAACATAACCAACTACACGTGACATGGAGCAGACTGAGAATTCCAGAACACTCACGCGGAACCTGTGCACAGACCAACAGGCCGTCGTGGAACACAATGTCAGGGTTACGTCCTTTCAGCATGCTCACGGAGTGTACGCTGAGCAAGCAGTGTGAGCAGCTGACCTGTACCAGTGAGAACGCAGTGTCGGGACTGAAGGAAGGAGGTTCTAGAATAGCCCGAGGTGTGCGATGACACAACTGTTCTTGCTAAAAGCCAGAAGGGCTCGAAGCACTTCCTGATGAAGTTCAAGGACTACAGCCTAGAGTCCAGATTACACTTCCACATACAGGAGAATCCTCCCAGTTGGACCGGTAGGCAGCAGCATCCTAAAGGGGAAAGCTGTCCAAGTCATCGTGACCGTTAAGGCTTCTCGGCATGGTCTTCTTTCACCTGGATCCACAATCAGTGTCGTGGAAGCAGCAGTCGAGCGATCAAACGCTGTAGTATAGCACGAGGTAAGTCTGCTACAAAAGAGATCTTTCCGGTGCTCGTTCTGCGGACCCCGGCGGGTGCCTCAGATGCACGGGAGACCTGGACCACGAGGAGGGGTTGTGGTGTCCGAAGGACAAGGAGTCCGCGCAGGGACCCTGGCCTGTGGTGCAAGAAGGACGGCCAGAAGGCTCCTTAGAAGCAAGGATGGCAAGACTGTGTCTCAGACTTTGGGCGTGTTATGGGTCCCTGGAGAAGGACCCCAGGCTTGGTAAAGTAGGGGGTCTGGAAGAAAGAGGAAGACCCTCCACCAGACAGACGACACAGTGGCTGCAGGGCTGGGCTCAAGCACAGCAACGTCTGTCCCCACGGGTGGGCTGCGAGTCGGAACGGCTGGGATGGGACCCGAGGAGGCCGCTTCACGCCGCCGGTCCCTCTCTCTCCCTTGCCGCTTGCGGCCAAAGGTCTCCTAACTGATGCACTGATCTCTAGGGGCAGGTGGAAGAGAATGGGGTGAAAAAGAAGAAAAGCCATTCCGATTGTGGGAGAGGTGAATGGCCAGGCCAAGTCCGGACCTGGTTTTCTACGGCTGTTAGCCTGGACTGAGCTTGGTGGCCTGCTTTTTGTCCATGTGGCTGGCAAACTCCAAGGACGGTGGTAGCGTCCAGCTGGCCTCTGTGCCCCGGTCACGAGCAAGGCCCTGACAGCCAGCAGTTGCTGACAGCACTCACGGGGGTCTTACTACCAGTGGACACTGCTCATTAGCTCTGTCTGGTCTGCCGCCTCTTGACCTTTTCGACGGCACTTGCAGGCAGATGTTGCACCGATCAGGTAACGGGCACAGAGCACTGAGGCCACTTGCCTGAGCGTGCACCACTGGTAAGAGGAGGCAGGGCCTGGTTTTGACCTCTGGTGCTCGGACTCCACAGGACAGCAGTCCCTGGCTGGGCTGGAATGCCAAGCCTGGACCCCCTGGGCTCAGGGATGTCCTGGGGCAGCTCTGTTGTTGCAAATGGGAAGCGGAGCTGAGGCCAAAAGTCCGTGGCCTCTTCCTGTGGACAGGTGACTGGCCATGAGAGACTTCTGTGCTCCTGGGCTGTGACTCGGGACAGGGAGAGCCTTTCCAGTGGGTGTACAGGCGCCTGCACGCCACACCTTCTCTCCACGCCCACCGCAGGAAACAAGGGCCAGGTGGCCCGACTTCAACAACTTCCGGGACCGAAGGGAAGAGAGGAAGGGAAGAGAAAGCTGTTGAGGACTTCCCACCAAAAAGACGACCCGCAAAAGGACAAGAACGGAGACGTTGTTGAGCCACGTCAAAAGACAAAAGCGTTGCTCTCGCTGGAAAAGCCCTGTGAGAAGGCAGATTCAGGAGCAGACGCAAACGCAGCAAACACCGATGTACGTCCACATCCGGCGAGCGGGCCCCGGCGGCGAGGCCTGGTAGGAGGAGGAATCACCGCCCCATCCCAGCAGGTGGACACTTGTGCAGTCCCTGCAGGGAAATTCAACCCTAAACTCCCACACAGAACCTGTCCACCTGGCTGTGCGTGCCCCTCTGCCCGCCGCACACGAGACAGCGCACGAGGCTGGTGTAAACTCCAGGGATGACGCGGACTGTGGCCGAGGTGGTGGGTGCTGTCCCATAGCTGTGCGGGTGGCCGGGGGCATGCGGGGGTGGGTGCAGCACTATAGCTACGTAGGTGGGGGCAGGCTGGAGCACGGGGCACGAGGCCTCCCTGAACATTCCTTTGCCATTTCCCATGAGTCCAGGGGCCTGGTGGGCAGAGGTTATGTGGTTGGCTACTAACTACAAAAGGGTGATGGTTCGAACCCAAGAGCTGCTCTGCGAGAGAAAGACGCAGCTGTCTGTCTCTGTACAGACCTGGGGCCCTGCGAGCCCCGTGGGGCAGGTGCACGCTGACTGGCAGGAGCACGATGTGCTGGAATCGAGCCGCTGGCCATGGGGTTGGCTTCCCAGTGAACCTAAAATCACTGAAACATAAAATGTGACCTCAGCCCGACCTCTGCTGCATCTGATGACTGCGCGGTCTGCCATTCCAGCCTCAGGTCCTAAGGCGCCAGGCGCCACCGTGTACATCAGCACCCGTGTGCACGCTGAGCCCCCTCCCTCTGCTCAGCTGTGTTCCCACAGGCGGTTCATCCAGCTGTCTGCAGGAGGCATGTCCTGCCACAAACTGCCCGACGCTCTGTTGGGCAGGGCCTGTGGCTCTGGCTACCCCTCCCAGTCCCAAAGCTGTGACCTGAGTGTGGCTGTGCACGTGGTCTCCAAGGCCCCCCTCGGGCACAGCCAGCAAGCACCCTGAGAACAGGGCTGCCCAGGCTCGGCATCTTTCATGCTTGCCCAGCCCCTGGTGCACAGGGCTCTCCTGGGACTTTTGAACCGGAGAAGAGCGGTTTGGACAACAGCCTCCGTTAGTCGCAAAGCAGGGGCTGGATCGGTGGGGCTTAGTATGGGCAGCACCTACACCACACGCCTGCAGTCAGCACCCACAGGGTGAGTGGACTGACCCCTGGCCTCACGGCAGGTGGCCCCATCTTAAACTGACTTAGGCCATCCACGACCTCTCTGGGTGTCTCCCATGCAGAGGAGGCTGGGATATGTGTGATGGGAGGGTGGCGGCCTGGACAGTAAGCTGGTTGGTTGCACTCCCTGTAGGCGTGGGCCACAGTGTGGGGGCTCCAGGCCACGGTCAGGAATGCCCTGTGGGCAACGTGGTGGCATCTGGCTGGGGGGAGTCCTTCATGGAAGGTTCCCTGGAGGAGCAGCCCTGAAGCCCCACTCGGCAGGGTACGGCCGGGTAGTGGGGAGACCACAGGCAGGGCTCTGCACCCACACAGCCTACCGAGGCCAATGACGGGTCAGCCAGGCTGACGAGGTGGCACGGAATTGCTGTCACGGAAGGTACGGGGCAGACTAGCCAGAAACAGAAAGGTCCCTTGGGCCTCTCAGTGGAGAGCAGGGCAGAGGCGTGACACTGGAGGCTGGACCAGGGCAGGGTGCTGGACAGAGGACAACTGCTCCTCAGAGGGCTTCCAAGAACGCAGGTCTTTACGGGAGCCGACAGAGCTGCTGGGGCTTGAACTGTGGGATCTTTCCGTTAGTAGCCAAACACTTAACCCACGGCTCCATGAAGGCTCCTTTCTAAACGGGGCCGAGAGGCCAACAAAACAGCAGCTGAAGCCAATTGTGTGTCCTGCCCGTGCCAGCCCAGCTTGTGCTGAAGCTTAACCTAAGGCACAGCCAAGGTCCAGGGGCTGGGGCTGGGGCTGGGGGTGAGTGGTGCACATTTCCTGGAGAAGAAAGGCCCCTCGCTTTCACCAGACCCCTTAATCAGAGAAGAGGGAAGCGTTCTGACCTTTCTGGCGATGGCTTGTATCTTGCGTAGGTGGCTGAGCCGGGGGTGGAGAAGCTTCCAGAAGGCTGTCGGTAGGGAGGCGCTCTGTCGGCCCCTGCTGGTGGTGCTGTGTAGGGGGTTTCTGGGAAGCTGACAGGCCTGGAACAAGAGTGGAAGGAGGCAGTTGATAGAGGGAAGCCCCCTGCTGCCACAGAGGACCATCTCCTCCCGCCCGCCCTCGGGAAGGATGCTGAGCAAAGGTGGTGGGAGGCTGGGCGCTGTCCGAGGCCCCTCTCTTCCTGTTTCTGTCAGCTGAAGCCCCTTCTTCCTAAACTTCTCTGATCTTGTGATCTTCTGTAGGACGTGATACGTCAACGCAGCTTTACAGTCAAGCTGTGAGCTGGGCACATAACCCGAGAACTGGAGGGGCTGCGTGGTCTCTGGGCTGTGTAGTGCTCCCTCCGCTCACGGTGTCTCCTCAAAGCATCTCCAGGGCCTGACCTTGGCACACATGCACGGGCTCTTGGCCCTCAGACCCGGAGCCCCGCACACTGCCAGGCCTGAGGTCAAAGGTGGAGCAGAGGGAGGGGAGGCCTGAGGACAAGGAGGGAGAGACTGAGGCAGGGGTGAGAATGGAGCAGAAGCTGCTGGGGTGGGTGGCAGGAGGGGTAAGGGAGAGAGAGAGACAGACAGAGGCAGGGAGGACTGTCCTTACCTCTTGCTGTGCAGTGGCTGGGACTCCCGGAAGGGGACCATGGAGTTCTGCTTCGGGGGCCGGTTCAGGGACTGGGCGTGGCCAGGGGTGGCTGGCAAGGCCCACTTGGAGGCTGGTAGAGAGTTGTGAGAAGCTGGCCCGCTCCACTGCCAGGGAGCGTTGCTGCGGTAGGGGGGCCGGCCCCCAGGGGTCATGCTCTCTGGCTCGGTCTTGGGCTCTGAGGTATTCATGTCATAGGTCTCCGGCCACCCCCTGTGAAGAAGGCCAGGTGTCAGGCAGGAAGGCCTGGCCGGTGCACACGGGTGCCTCGCATCCCTTGGCAAGGCTTCCTGACCACCCCGGGCCCTGGCGGCTGTTCTTAAAGGGCCGTGCGGCCCCACTCAACTGGCCCAGCAATCACCGGCTCAGTGTCCTCCGGGCCCAAGCCCAGCACTGGGCCCCAGTCCCCAGCCTCACGCCTGCGTGTCCTCCCGGGTTTAGTGAGACTTGGGCCTGAAAAGCAGATGCAAAGGACAGTATCTGTCTTGTTCCAAAGATGCTCAAAGGCAGCTGGAAGAGAAGCAGGTGACCTACTTTAAAAAAAAAAGAAAAAAAAGAAAAAGCAGCCACGCAATCCAGAGCCTTGAAATAGCTTCGGAGCTGCAGTGACTCTCCTCAGACCAGGCGCACACTGTGGCTCCCGGCTCCAGGAGGGGGGCAGGCTGGTGCTCCCCCCACCGCTGCACTGCTGGGGCCCAGCGGGGGCTCTTGGCTGGAGGGTGGCCCTGCCTGCAAGCATCCCCTGCCCAGCTGAGTTCTGCTCCTGCCCCTGGACCCTTTCACAAGACACTGGAGGGTGGTGGCTGGGACACAGGGACTATGGAGCCACCTGGGGAGGTTTTGAGACTTGGGCAGACTCCAGCCCCGGTCAGCATCCTGGGTTACAGTGCCCATGTGCACCGTGCTGCATGGCCTGGCCAGAGGGAGGACGGCCGCTGGGCATCCCAGGCAGTGCCTGCCACCCACCCAGCTTCCACCCCTCTTCTCCTGTGTGTTCTGGGTAGGGCTGACTCCCATTTCCTGGCTCTAAGCAGGAGCATGTGACAAAGACCTGGCCAATCAGGGACTGCCCCCCCCCGCCCCAGCTATAGAGACTGGTGTAGGGGTTGTCATGTGCCCTGCACAGGCCGACCAGAGCCAATAAGTATCGACTCAGGACCTTTTCCTGGAACTACTGGGGGGTGGCGGGAGACTCTGACTCCCATTGGGGCTGTTGAGCTGAAGGCACTTAAGTTGGGCTCCATGTACGGCAGGGGGCTGGGGCCATCTATATCCCAGGAGGTGAGGGTCTGCTCGGGACTGACACCAGACAGGAGAGCCCTGGGGAGCGCCAGGCCAACCACCCCTCCCCCGCCCCCCTGATTCCTGGGCAACCTAGCCACACGGGTGCTCGGGTGCTCGAGCCTGTCCCGCAGCTGACAGCTGGGGTTCCGCTCAATATACGTCGCTTGAGAACAAGGTACATGGAGGCACACACACATTAAATAACCTCTCTGAGGGCCACAGCAAGAAAGAGGTGGAAACAAACTGACCCCCAAACCCACAACCCTCAGCAGAGGTGGTGCCCACAGTTCTAACTGCCACCTCAGCCCCACCTCCGGCCAGGAGACCCTGGGCACTACCTCCCAGAGGAACCGCTGTCCCGCTCTGCACAGCTCTCCGGTCCCCGCTGTCCCCAACGGGAGCTCATCTGGCCCATGGGGTGGCCCCATTCTCCAGGGCAGCGGGCCTCCCAGGAGTGTGTGCGGAGTCTGGCTCAGGGCAGGAGGTATCCCCCACCCCATCCTCACCTGCTCAGAAGTGGAAGTTGTAGCCCTTCCACCCTCTGGAGTCTAATGGGGCCTGCTTGGAGATCCCCGGGGCCCCTGATCGAGTCCCACCCCACCTCCTCCCCAGCTTTCCCAGGGGAGCTGAGGACTGCCATCACCAGGGCACCCTGAATCCTTGAGAGAAAACACTGGTTCCTGGGCCCCAGCTCACCTGAACCAATTTCCACCCTCAAGATGGGGCCCAGGAACCTGCGCATTACCCACACCCACGCTCAAGTTGGAGAAGCCCCACGGCCGGTTGTTTGGTTCAGGTGGGGTCAGCGGGCACACAGCAAAAAGCCTCAGTGCCCGTGGGTGCGTTCTTCTGCACGGGGCAGAATCAGGGGTTGCTGTGAGTCAGCAGGGGTGGACCAGTCCTCCTTAGCCCAGCCGGACCCACCTCTGCCCTTGGAACAGCTGGTGAGCAGCCCCCTTGGCGAGTGTGGGCCCGGAGACCACTTTCCACACTGTCCCCCAGCCTGAGGCCCAGGGCTCCCTTCTCACTCCCTCGTGGGGGTGAAGACACCCTGGGGTGGTCTTCCCTGACCGTGCCCAAGGCCACAATGACACCCCTCAGCAGTGGCCCTGTAGTTTCCTGCTACCTGGCCCAGCCGGGGACCCAGGGGCTCAGGGCCCGAGTCTCTGCCTGGGCGACTCTCTGGTGTCCACTCAGTCTGGGTGCTGAAGGCCACAGTGAGTGGAAGGCAGCCTCCCAGGGCCGGTTCCTGGACACCTGGGACCCCTCCCCATGCCCGGATCACCTATGCTTACTGTGACCTCTGAGCCAGGGGTCAGGGATGCAGGGAGAGGCTGGAGGGACCCAGGGCAGGGGGGTCGCCAGCTCCCCAAACAGGGCAGGTTGACATCACTGCCATTTGAAGAGGAACCAGACCCACCTCTACCAGACTCGGCTGCCCTGGAGGATGGGGGTGGGGTGTAGGCTAACTGCCTCCCCAGGAAACCGAGTGGGGAGCAGGCCGCATCTGTCCAGTCCACCCTCCTGGCCCAGCCCCGTCAGTGGGGGAGAACGCTGCAGACGCCACTGTTGCTTCAGCTGGTCCCTACCTTCATGTCGGGCCCCTTGAAGACACACACACACACACACACACACACACACACACACCACACCACAGCATACCACACACACACACACTCTCTCTCTCTCTCTCTCTCTCTCTCTCTCCCAGGGTCCAGTCAGCCGCCGGGCGAGTGTGAGTGCTGAGCAAGGCAGAAAGGGTGTGTTCTGACCAAGCCCAGGGCGCCTGTGGGTGGGGTTACCTCTGGCCCCGACCCACCTGCCCCACAGGGACCCGCACGGGTGTGGCTAGGCCTTGGCATGGGCACACAGGGAGAGGGGAGGGGGAACACCTGGGGCTGGCGGAGAGGTGGGGGTGGGGGACTCAGGGTGGTTTCTCCCCAGAGCAGCAGGCTGTCAGCGTCTGAGTTTGGACTCGCCGCTCACTGTACGGCTTTCCACTCGGGACTGTCTGCTCCGGGCCCGTCTCCTCGTCTGCGAAACGGGGATCACACCAGCGATGGCACGAGGTTGGGGAGGTCTGGCCTGTCACTCGCCTGGCACTGTACCCTGGGCTCCCTCTGCGCCAGCACACGCACCCTCCGGAGGGCAGGTCTCTGACTGCCAGGCCTTTCTGCTGTCCTCCTTGGCCCACTGTATTTCCCTCACTCACCACCCAGGGACGCCTGTGCTTTACTGCACAGACACCTTAGAGGGGAGCTCTACCGAAGAGGACAAGGAAGCACCGCAGTGGGGCCAGAGTCAGCAAGGAGGCGAGCCACTGACCCCTGCGTCCTGCTGACCACCTCCCCTATCTCTCTGACCCAGTCTCCCTTGATGGTCGCTTGTTTAGTGTTTGATCTCCGTCTGGTACTTAGCTCCATGGTGCTCTGTGGAGGCCTTTCCTGTCTTCTGTGTGCTTGGAAATGGCCTCTGGAAATTGCTAGGGGACCCCCTCACTGTTCTGAGACCTGCACCGTCCCCTGCCTCCCTGGACAAATGACGGCTCCGGCGAACCAGAGCTCACCGGGGGCAGTTCTACCTTAACAGACCCTCCAACAAATGAGGACGGACGATGGGCTCTCAGGGCAACCCGGCGGAGAGGCGGGTCCAGGCAAGGAACTCAGTGGCCAGTGAACCGTGCAGGGAGCTGAGGGCAACCTTCACAGGGAGGAGGCAGGGGCCAGCGGGACACAGCACTCCCTGGTGGATGCCAACTGTGCTTCTAGGGGGAACAGGCCGCTTATGGGCACTATTAGGGGGCTCGTCAAAAGGTTCGTGGGCAAAACGAAAAGGTAACGGAACTGCTCCTTTTGAGGCCTCCTCAGACCCCCGCGAGAAGAACAGGTGAAAGGACCCTGTGGGCATGCCATGACGTGGGAACTCTGAGAGGACACGTGCCTGGTTTACTCTGCAGAAGAAACGCAGGAGCAAGGGGCAGCTAGACAAAGGTGGCCGAGTCCTTACCACACAGCCACTCTCTAGCACACCCGTGTCTTCCCGCAGGCCGCAGGCCCCTACGGAGCACAGCACGGCCGGCGGGCGGCCAGGGCCGCCTCAGGGAACCCTAACCAGCCAGTGGCCAGTACTCAAAGTACAGCTCTGTCCCACCAATTCCCAAACCAACGGAGGGTACATCTTCTTCACGATGCTCGAAACCTACATGAAAGAGATGAAGCCACGCACAGGAAGCCCACCCTCCCCACCCTGGCTCCCACCTGCTCTTGGAACAAAACCCAAGGTCCAAACGGGGGCTCCTTCATACAGCGCCCCGCCACCTCACGGCCATGTGCTGGCCACCCGGCGAGTACCCCCACCCCGCTCCTGCCCTTCTCAGAGCCTGTCAGGGTCTGAAGACGGATTTCAGACTGTGTGGTTCCGGGCTCCCACCCGCAGACGCTGCGCCACGCACTGCCGTCTCCTCAGCACCTTGCACAGCCGTGCTAGGGCAGGGCTGAGCAAAGAAGTGCTGGGCAGATGGGTCAGTGAGTGTCCTCCAGGACGCCGACCTCGTGGGGTCACTGGGTCACACGCACGTCCAGAGCCCCCCCGAGAACTGACAAGCCCTCAGTGGATGCTCGCCACCCGCCTTTCCGCCCCTCAAATCACCGGCGCTGCTGACCAAGGGCACCTCCGGACCTCAGCACGCGGGAGCTGCCTGTCCTGCCCTGGCGGGCAGGGCGCCCTCACCTTCGGGGGGTGCCGTCGTCAAAAGGCGGGACGATGACCACCTTCACGGTGACAGAGGTGCGCAGCAGGTCGATCATCTGGTCGTGGGTCAGGGTGACCACGGCCACCTTGCAGATCTCCACCAGCCGGCTGCCTTGCCGGAGGCCGGCCTGCCAGGCAAACCCGTAGTCCTCCACCTCGGCCACTGTCCCGTCGTGCTTCACGTGGAAGCCCAGCTGCCCGAGCCCGTTCCGCCGCAGCGTCATGTCCACTGTCTCCCAGCCCTTGGTCATCACCTGTGGGCAGAAGGCAGGGCCTGGCTTCGGAGCCGCTCCGGAGTGATGCCCCACCTGCCCCAGCCCACGCCGACCTTCCTCTGAGTGGGAATGGCCCTGCAACTAGGGGCCTCAGATGCTCCCGCCTGCCTCCCTGGCAGCCTCCGCTGGGACGGCAGCCCCGGCTGGCTTTGGGCAAGGAGCTGGGAGAGGGACTGGTGTGCCAGGAGGGCCGGGATCCAAATCTGGAGGGCGAGATGCTCACCGACCTCCTCCTGAGCCACGGCGACCCGCAGGGCTCCAGGTGGTGGCCTGGGGCTGGGACAGTGTGAAGCAGAGCCTCCCGCTGAACTCATGGCGGGCCTGCGGTGCGCAAGGAATCACCTCTGCCGTTTCAGGCCACCCACCGGAACCACAGCGGGTGGGAGAAGCAACAGACCAGCCCCTCGCGTGTCCCCCTCATGTGGGCTCCTCCCGGCGTCATCCTCCAGGGCACAGACTGCCCCCTACCTCCTCCTCAGGCCATCGTCCCCACACAGAACTGACGGACAGCACTGGGACAATCACACTACTCTGTCTGTCGGGCATTTCTTCTCCCGGCAACGTGTCACTGCAGAGGTGAGAACCCACTGAAAAACCGTCAGCATGTTACCAGCGACACCCTCCTTTCCTGGTGATAAGAAGTCAAACGACAGGCTACGGGACTGAGCTCTGGACCGCCCAGCAGACCCCATGTTCCTGCACCCGCACCCACACCCACACCCACACCCACACCCACACACACACAACGGCGTCTTCCATGACTCAGTCTTCTCCCCCAGCCCCTGACCCCAGGGAGAGTGGGGTTGGGCACATGGCGACCGAGGGAGGGACCACAGGTCTCAGTGTCCCTTGCAGCTGTGTGTGGACACGTGACGAGGTGCCGACCGACAAGATATGAGTGGAGGTGATGGAACTTCTACCTCATGGTCTTAAAATAAAACTCATCCCCACTCGCTCTCCCTTCTTGCAAGCAGAGAGGTGGGGGGGGAGTGAGTCGGCTGTGACCAGGCGGATAAGCAGCATCACCTGGGGGAGGGAGCAGCAGAGAGACAGACAGATAGCAGCAGAGGGCGCCCGCGGTGCCTGCCGGCTGCCCCCAGCGAGGGCCAAGCCACACACTAAGAAACCGCCAAAGCCAACTGGCTGCCCTAGTGGCAAACTCCTGTGTGCAGAACTGTTTTCACAGCCCTGCCTGGCTGCTGCCGGCAAGGCCGGAGGTTCAAAGCCACCATGCTGTGCAATCGTGACCAGCCCCGTGCTTCAGGTGGCCGTGACCGAACACGGGGCTGCCATCCGCCTGGAAACCAGTCTGCTCTCCGCGTCCTGCCCAGCAGCCCGGCGGGCAGGGTTCTCATCTAAATCCCGGGTCCCTGTCCGCAGCAGAGGCCCCCACATTCGCGCAGGTGGCTCCGGACGTGAAGCTCACGCCTGCCAGCTACTCTTACACACGCCCTCCCTTTCCTCACCCTGCTCTTGACAGATGCTCTGGAACCCTTTCGTTCTGCTTTATTCTCGAAAACAGACAAAGCCCAAACCTCACGACCCGACAATCGTGAATAATCCCAGTGACTTCGTCCGCCGCACAGGGACCCCGAGGAGCCCTGGGGGGACAGTAGCGGAGCAGTGGTGAGCTGCTAGCTGACAGGTGGCCCATTCAAAGCCAGCATCTGCTCTGCGTGAGGAAGAAGTGGGGGAAGTCTTCTCCCGAGATCTGCAGACTTAGAAACTTTGTGGGCAGTTCTACTCTGTCCTGTGGGGTCACTGCGAGTCGGAGCCCAGTGATGGCACCAGAGCCGCAGGGTTAGGTGGGATCACACGGCCTTTGTCCATCTGTGACTGGCTGACTTCACAGATGCATTTGGGTCGTGGTGCTGGTGAGAATACTGAAACACAGCATAGACTGCTCAAAGGACAAGCCATCGATCTTGAAGAAGTATGGCCAGAGTGCTCCTTAGAGGCACGGATGGCCAGGCTTCATCGTACATCCTTTGGGCAGGTGGACGGGAGGCCAGTTCTTGGAGAAGGACCTCATGCTTGGTAAAGCGGAGGAGCAGTGCCAAAGTGGAGGGCCCCAATGCGATGGACTGACCCGTGGCTGCAACAGCACGCTTGGGGGGCATGGGAACAACTGTAAGGAAGGTGCAGGGCCATGCTGTGTCCCATTCTGCTGTGTTTAGAGTGGCGATGGGTCGGAACTGACTTGATGGCATCGAACGGCAACAACGTTTTCAAAGTTGCCTCTGCGGTAGCCTGGCTCAGAACTTCCTATCTCTGTGACTGAGCGCTCTTCCATGTATATAGGTATGTATGCATGCATGCCACCGTCTATGTCTCCAGCGCCCTGATGCTTACACTCACAATCTCTTACCAACATTGAGAGCCAGTGTGCATACATCCAGACTCTCAGCTCCAACCTTGTCTACAAGAGCCCATGGGCAAGACCCACCAGACCCGTGTGCGAGTGACTCTTCCCAGTCTCTTGGGGCTGATGAAAAGTTTTGGCTCCACTGACCAGCCTCGGCCGACCTGCATGAGCCCCCGCGCCGCGGGGGAGCTGGCTGCCTTACCTTCAGTCTCTGGACGATTTCCCGTATGTCCTCCGCAGAGCCCTCTGTGGCCTGCAGGAAGATGTGGTCTCCTTGGCCATAAAAGATTTTGAGTGTGGCGGCGTCGGGGGTCCAGCCGATGACGTCCCCGCAGTAGCAGTTGAACACCACCTCTTTGGTGCGCAGGTCCAGGAGCACCACGAACTCGTTGGAGATGCCCAGGATGCAGTCCATTTCCAGCCCCTGCGCGTAGTCCTGGGCGGCCACCCTCCAGGCGATTGCCCCCGCGCTGTGCTGCTCGGCGCCCGCCCGGGCCTTCGTCTTCTCCTTCTTCTTGGAGGTCAGCGAGATGAGGTGGAACTTGCCCGAGGAGTCCATGGGCGTGCTGGACACGCAGTTCTCGGCCAGGTCCTTGAGGTACTCCTGGCGGGTCCTGGTGGCCATGGTGTGAAACTTGTCCGATTTGTGTGCGGCGTTCTCCGCGTTAATCACCTTGGCCAGCAAGAAGTCTCTGAAGACGTCAGATTTGCGGAATGTGGTTCCACTGGGGATGGGGGGGCCGAAGGGAGGGGCATCTTTGGACCGGGTCACGGCCATGCTGCAGAGGGAGGGAGAAATCGTTTAGACGGGAGGCAGGGGAAAAAGCAGTGCGCTGCCTTTAGCAAGAAAATGAAATGTGTGATGGGACCTGAGAGTTGCCTTTCTAAGAATGGTCGTCCACCTACATCTAATGGGTAAGCCACCAATTGACTAGATTCGAAACTTGTAAGTCTCAGGTCCTTTTTCCTTAAAAAAAGCAAAGCAAGCAATACATTGTGACTGCCTGCGCAGCGGTGTAGTGGCCACACTGGGCTGCCCGCACAGCCAGCAGGTCCAATCACCAGCCGCTCCTCGGGAGAAGGGTGGGCTTTCCCCTCCCATAAAGGGTTACAGTCTTGGAAGCCCACGGGGGCAGCTCTACCCGGTCCTCAAGGGTCACTCGGAGAGGCATCCACTCGATGGCAGTGAGTTACGTGGTAGGTGTTAGACGACACCATGGCATCAAAATAAGAGGGAGCATCAAAAAGTGTGGGAAAGCTGTATGACTCCATTTCACAAAGTGTGTGATGCTCCCTTGTAACTCCCCAGTGTTGCTCAGCCTGTGCTCAGACAGACAAGGCAGCGGGCTCGATTAGGGGTTGGCAGTCACTCCTCCTTCCCACCCTCTCAGGAGGAGGAGAGGCCCGTGCAGCAGACCCGGCGTGGCGCCCAGCCCAGCCCTGGCCGTCCACAGACGGGGGAGCCACGGAGTCTTGGGAAGCAGCACTGTGGTATGACTGCCTGGCTGACGTGGAGCATCTATGTGGTGTGGTTTCTCCCACATGCGTGTGTGACGCTGCTATGTGCACCCTGCCGAGTATGCCCACAGAGGCTTTCTTGGAGATCGGCGACCACCAGGAGTCAGAACGGAAGGCTTCCTGCTTTGGTTTTGACCAACGTGCCGAAAGGATAGAAATCACGAACACAGCAGGGCACAACAGCCAAACTCACCGTCACCGAGTCAATCCCGACTCGCTGTGCCCTACAGGACGGGGTGTAGGCGCCCCTGTGGGTCTCCCAGACTGCACCTCTGTACAGAGTCGAGGGCTGAGAGCCTCGTCTCTCCCCCCAAATCAGACACCAGCTGCATAAAAACGTACCAGGCACCTGATCTTAAGCCGGTGCCCCGCATACACCTGAACCTTCTTGGGAGGACATGTTTCGAGAAGGCTGGGCAGCAAGCCCATCTTCTGGGGTCTCCTGCCTGTGAGACCTGAGGGGGCGGCCAGAGACACACCGACGGGCACAGCTCCTGAGATCAACTCCTGCCTCCCTACGTGCCAAGAAAGGGCAGGTAGAAGCTGGCAGTGGGCAGGGCGGGGAGGAGAGGTGCAAGGGGGCAGACAGGGGATCCCATGCCCTGTCTGCCACAGGCCCCAGATGGAGTGAGCGTGAGCCCCGAGACAGGAGCGGGTGCAGACACGCTGACAAGTGAAGGTGGGGATTTGATGAGCACCTTGAATTTGACATTCTCATGACCACGCCCAGGGAGACTTGGTGGCCATAGGGCCATGGGGCAGAGGCCAGAGCACCTGTCAGCATACTGGCCGCTGGGTAGGGAAGGTGACCTTCAGAAAGATGTTCTGGGGTCTGTGGGTTACGTGCTGTCTGAGTAATGCTGATTTTAACCGATGAGAGGAATAAACTGACCGAGCTTTCCTGAAACTCCGCTCCACCACCGTGTCCTCCCTGCAGCAAAGCCCCCACCGTGGGGGACGCTGCTGCTCTCCCCGCTTCCGGAGCATCTTCGTGAGGAAACAGCCCCAGGAAGCCCAAAGGCAGGGGGTGCCTGCCCAGGCCTCCCTGACACCTGCATGCTGCCTTTGCCCCCAGGCTCCGGGAAGACGGCAGACCCTGCCCCACGGGAGCTCCTGGTCTGGGCAGATGGACACATAAGTGCAGAGGAATGGACGGCTTGTGCTACTATGGTTGACCACAGGACAAAGCTGGAAGGAGGGCCACTCTGAGGAAATGACAACTCAGCTGAGATCTGAGGGGCAGGGAGGACGCAGAGAGACGGCCACCACAGGGCAGAATGAGGCCAGGGTGGCTGGAGCCAGGGGCAGGGCAGGGAGGAGGCGGACCACACAGGGTGGCAGTGTGCAAACAGCTTCCACTGCTGTGCTAAGAATACAGACCATGTCATGAGTTGGACAGGTGTCTCACGGTTGATGCCTCAGGGCCCTGCCCCCACCAGCCCTGACCCAGGAGGGTGACCTCTGCAGACCTGGTCACAGCTTCTGTGCCCTCTGGCTGAGCTTGGCCATTGGGATATGGGTGGGCGGGAGGCTGGACTATTTCCTCCCTCTCTGCTGGGCTGCGACAGTGACTCCCTCCCAGAGGGGCCAGCTGCTAGCCAGGAGTGGCGGTCAGCTGGGCACTCTGCAGACATGGGGCTGCCCCTGGAGGAGGCTGCTTCTGTGCAGCCCTCCTGCCTTTTTTCTGTTTTATTTTGTTGCGGTGTTTTTTGGGGGGAGCGGCTTTACGTGAAACTCAGGGTAGGTAAATCTACAGAGAGGACAACCAGATCAGTAGCTTCCTGGGTGATGCCAGGAGCCAGGAGGGAGATGGGGACCCAATGTAGCGGCTAGAAGAATGAAGATCTTCTAGAATCGATTGTGGTGGCGGCTGCGCTCTCTAATACACGTCAGCCACTGAACTGTACGACATGAATCATCTGTCAATAAAACTGCTGGAAAAAATAAAACGAAAGCAGCGTTTACAGCCCAGGATCAGCTCTTCCCTGCCCCGCAGAGCTCTACCCTGCGGGGGGGGGGGGGACACGACGACAATGAGTTGGAACAGACTTGACGGCTGGGGAGTCAATTTCATCTCCTTGTGAGTCCTACAGGCCAGGGTCAAACTGCCCCAGCGCGCTCCTGAGGCTGTGCCAGAGCAAGGAGCCTCATCTTTCTTCCCCAGGGCGGTTGGTGGATTTGAACCACTGAGCTTGCAGCCCAATGCGGCTACTCCATCAAGGATCCTGGCACCTGTCTAGTCAGCAAAAACGCTTTTAGGGTTGGCTATGTGCTGAGCAAAAGGAGCCCTGGTGCTGGTCTGCTAACCTCAAGGTCAGTGGTTCAGACCCACCATTTGCTCAGGGGAAGAAAGTGGAGGCTGTTGTTCCCGTATAGATGGACAGTCTTAGAAACCCTAAGTGGGGTTGGCTGAGTGGAACTCAGTTCGATGGCAGTGGGTGGGCTGGCTCTTCTGATACACCAGGTGAAGAAGCCCTTGTGGTGCGGTGGTTAAATGCTCGTCTATCCATCCAAAGGTTGGTGGTTCAAACCACGAGCTGTATCCGAGGAGGGAGATGTGGCCGCCTACTGAGTTCCAGCTTTCGGCCCTGGACCCTGGTGGGTGGGTAGGGCTGTGGGTAGCTGAGTCAGAAGGGACCAGGGGTCCACAGACATGGTGCACATAGCTGAATGTGACGGGGGAGGGGGAGCACCTCAAGGCTGGAGGGTGTCAGAGACTTGTCTGAGTTCACTCCTGAGGGGTAGTTGGGAATTCGTGTGGAGGGGTAGTTGGGAATTCATGTGGGGGTCACAGGGATTGGGGGGCAGGTCAGACTGGGCTAAACATGAAGTTTAGCGTGCATCCCCCCCACCCCGTGCTTTTCTTGAGAAACAAAGCAAACAGGGCGGCGTGCGGGTGTCTGTAGAATCTGGCAGCACAGGACGCCCATCACCTTACTTTCTGTACTTTTTAGAATGCTTCCAGTTTTGCATAATAAAAGTATTTTAAATTAAATTGAGAAAAAATAAGAAGGACGTCTTTGTGGAAAGTGAGCAGAGGCAGGCAGGGCAGGCGGCTGGAGGAGACCGCAGAGTCCCTGCAGATCCCAGGGGGAGCCTAGAGTGGGAAGGAGGGGGAAGGGCCCAGCCCCACTGACCACCCCCCACCCTCGTAGGGCCACCCTGCAGCTGCCCTCCACACCTAGCCTTGTCGAACAACAGCTGCCCGCACCGAGCCAGGGCAGCAGGCGTCTCTGCGGCAGTCCCTGATGTTCTAGAATGCACGGGCCGGGAGGAGGGCCTCAGGCCTGGGCACAGGGAGTGTGTGGGCCCAGAAGGCCCGGGGGAGCCAGCCTGGGCTGGGCACTAGAACCCCCTCACCCCCCATCCTCGGGGTCCGAGGAAACACAGGCGCGCTTGTCCATCTGGCTGGGAGAGCCGACGGAGGCAATGGGCAGTCCCAGCACAGCCCCCAGGCCCATGACCCAGCAGGCCCATGTGGAGCTGTCCACTTGAACATACCCGTGCAGTGCGGGTGTACAGGTTGCTCACTGCAGCTGGGGCGGGGGTGGGGGTATTGAAGGGGATGCAAAAGCACCCGACGCGTCCTCGACAGAGCACAGGGGACAGCGTATGGGAACGGGTGTTACACCCACAGAGCAGCTCACAGAGGAAGAAGGCCTTAGGCGCTGCCACAGGGAGATCATCCCAGACGGGGTGAGGGGCCCGAAGCAGGAAGTGCTTCCATCTGCATGGAACGGCGTGTGGGAGGCATTCACATGCTGTCTTATACGGAGTCCTGGCGGTGCTGTGGGTGATGAGCGGGGCTGATAACGGCAAGCTCAGCCGTTCAAACCCACCAGCCACTCTGAGGGCCAAAGACGAGGCTCTCTGCTCCTGTAGAGACCAACAGCCTCAGAAACCCACAGGGGCAGTTCTACTCTGTCCTGCAGGGGTGCTGCAAGGTGGGGTGGACTGGACGGTGGTGAGCTGGCTCACACACACAGTTTGACGTGCAGGGACGATCGGGATGGATGCCTCTGTGAGGCAACCGGGTGGGGGAGGCTCGTATCTATGAGCCCTTTTGTACTGTCCGAATTTGGAACCCACACACACACACACACACACACACACACACACACACACAAACACACCACCCACCCCAGGGGCGGCTACCCCACCACACCAGGAGTGTTCCTTTGAGCTCCCCGCTGCCCCAGCTGAGAGCTGCTGCTTGTGCAGGACACAGTTGTACGAGCCCAGTGTCAGGGGCCCATCTGTGGTGCGGCCGCCTGCTCCCTCTCAGTTCTGGGGTCTGCCATGGGGCTGTGGGGAGGGAACGCTCCAGAGTGACGCTGTGTGGAGACTGGAGGGTGGGGGGCAGGTCCGTGAGCCAAGAAATAACTGCCCCTTTGTCTCACATCTGGCTGAGGTGGGTTTATATGTCCCTTACAACCAACAGACTTCAGGAAAATACAAACCCCATTACCTCCAGGTCACGGGCAGGGAGGAGCTGCCCTGGTTGAGAGCCATGCCTAGAAGGTGGGCACACTTGGACAGAGGCCCCAGGGACGAGCACACAGGAATGAGGGCTCTGCTGGGACTGGGTGGGGAGGGAGAGCGGATAGAGATAGCACTGAGTGTATACGGAGTGTGAAGGTGTGTGGGAGGTGAGGGTGTGCGTGCATGTGGGTGTGGGTGTGGGTGAGGTGTGCGTGAGGGGTGAGGGTGTGTGTGTGTGCGTGGGGGTGAGGGTGTGT